ATTTTTTTAAGTGTTAAAAGATTACATAATCAGATTAATCTGTTTATAAACCAAACTACTTCACACCTGCATGTCAAAAGTTCATATGGATAGCTTTCCTATCATATTATATAACCTGTTATAACACCTGTCAATCATTTTAATCCCCACAATCTACAGATTTTTATCACATTTTTTATAAACATTTAACACTTTTGTGCCTATTTTCACAAATTCAATTTTGCATTAAACCACCCATGTCACATATCGTTAAAGAAAGAAAATTGAGTAGATCCTGAATATACAAACCATATTGCTAGGAGTTCATTACATTGTAAGTTAGAACCCTCAGTCGAAAAAAACCCAATATTTTTAAAATATATTTAAATGGATTATTGTCATATATCATTGAAAAGATAATCAAAAGGTTATTACATAATTGAAAAAAATAATTTTCTGTGTCTATTAGAAAAGGTCATACAGCCGTCCAAAGTTGTCAAAAATGTTAATTTTTGAATGGCTATTTAACTGGAAGTTAATATTTTTCAACCAATATGAGTACACCTGTGGATAGCTGAGGTCAAGAACATCCTACAGTGAAATTTTCAAGGTCATCGAAGGTCAAGGTAACATGGTATGGCCTTTTGAATTTTCAAAAAATTCAAACGAATATAAAAAAATTCAAATTCGAAATTCAAAATTCTGTTCCAACAAACTGTAGACAAGGTTACAAGGTTTTATTAGACACCAACATCATAAAAATCGGATAAAAAATTGAGGACTAATTAATTTCTTATGCATCACTTCCGGTTTGGATTTTTTCTGTTAAGTGCATTCTAATTATGACTGACAGACAATATATATGGTTTTTGCCAACATCTGAAATTTACACCGGAAGTGGGTCGTGCCAGGCGTGATTTAAAAAAACCAGAAGTTCTCACGCAAAAACCGGAAGTGATAGAAAAATTTTGATTGTATAAATTTATTTGTATTGACATTCTGTATATGTCCTGTGAATTTCAGATCAATCGGATAATTAGCGGCTGAGTTAGAAATTTTGAGCTGTTTTAAACTTTGACAAAAATATTAAAAAATTGAATTTTAGCCTCACCAGATACGTCTTATAACAATAAACATATTAAAGAAAATTTCAGGTAAATCGGTTCATAAATAAGCCCTACAGACTTGATGCAAAACTATCTTTACAGTCTAAAACGAATCCTCTCAGCCTATTTTATCAGCTCGTCGGTTAAATCGTCCACTAAATTATTCAAATCATTTTTATACGCCCACGTGGCGTCGGTCCGTTGGTCCGTCAAAGTTTCTTGTGAACACAACAGAGACTACAGTTTTCAACTGATTTTAATGAAATTTAGTGTGATCATTTATATTGATGAGATCTTGGTCAAGTTCGAAATTGACGATCTTTCAATGAACGCTTTTTGAGTTGTTGCCCTTGACTTGGAAAAAACGCGTCAAAATTTGTGAATACAATAGAGACTACAGTTTCAGGATCAATGTCATTATGCAACTTTTGCTCACTCTTCAAGCAACAATTCTTTATGGATTATGTTGCATTTTATATGCCCACACATAGTATGGAAGAATTCTGTCCTCCGTCCATCTGTTCACAATTGGCTCATGCTCAAACAAAAGGCTACAAAATGTTTTTTGTCTTTGCAATCAAAACTGCTCGTAGGCGTGTGTCACTTTGCTTTGCAAGACTATCTTCTAAGTAACTAAAGCTGATAAAAATAATTGCCAACCGGTGCTACGTTGTTGTGCAGTTAGTGGTCTTCTGTCATATTATACATTTACAAGTAATTTGCAGTTAACAGATGAGATCTTTTTTTAAATCTGATTGAAATACATACATTTTTCTTTCATATTTTTTCTGACATTACACATCGCATCAGATCTCCTCAATTTTTTTTTTTTGAAATTTCGATCAAAGATGAAGAACATCTTAAATTTTCATTTCCAATCAAATCCACTGTAAAAATGGTAATACTATGCAAGACAGTGTTTGAACAATGAATACCGGTACCCAATAATTCATGGCAGTGTTTATTATTTGCCATTGCCATGGTTGCGCATAATTGGGTCACGACGTCACAGACAAAACAGTCAATAAGTTGCTTGTTCCCATCTTGTTTTGAGCGGAAAGTTTAGCGATCCTACATGAATTAAGGATATAAAAGTATTCTATTGTGTTCAAATAAACATTAAAATGCAGTTGAAACTATATACAGTGGTGTAACCTATTTTCGTGGATATAAGGATTCAACACCGAATTTCGTCAAAGTTAAAAAAACGAATTCATTTTTATGTCTTAGATGTTTCCTCAGATATTCTACAAAATAATTAAAATTGGTTTATTTCGATTTTCTTTCTGGATCCTTCACTTTGACCCATATTTCATGAGCAACCAACTCGGCAACGGCGGCAGAATGCATCACTTATTTTCGTGTACAATGTTTGATCTATAAATAAGTCTAGAAAAACAGGTTGTATTGATACCGGGTGGTATAATTAACTTCTCTTAGTATTTATCTTTAATATCAATTCATTATAACTAGTGACAATTCCTTCAAAGAACCACGATTTAAAAAAAAAAAAATAGTCACGGACAAAATAAGATACGTAGCGTGATTTATTGCTAATAGTCACTGAAACAACATATGGTCCACTTTGTGTTCCATAGAAATTTTCTGCTGGCACGGAATCCGCTAGTGGATCACGAAACTTCATTAGTTGGACTACATTCTAGCAGACGACACTTGGAACTCCTGATTACAGCTTGGGATTATATGGACATTCGGCCGATAAAAAACAATGAACAATAAACATTTGTAACAAATCAATGAGCAGAATTTGTTGAAGAAATTAAAAAGAAAGTAACATTTTTTACATAAAATACTACCCCTCCCCCTAGCCAAATCAAAACATATTCTAAAAAAATTAATAATATTTTTATTCCAGTCCTTATTTTTTAGTGTCGAATACAGTACCGGTTTTGATTAATTTGTGTTTCTTATGAATTATCGTGTATTCTTAATCATATCATTTCATAAAGAGTTTTATTCAACCATAAATGCCCATATATGTACAGTCTGGATGAACAAAAATAAAACTGTTTGACCTTTCTCGATAGGTCACTCATTGGAATTCTGCTGGTAATTCTCTTCTTATTTAGCTAATTGTGAATTTATTATGGACATGCGAGGCAAACTGGTATTTTTCCAAGTTATAAGAATACCTCTACTTTCTATTCATAACAGTATTAGCATTTTCATTTTCATAAATGAAAATAAGGGAACCCATCTTTATTAGGATTATAGTGAGAAGAGGGTAATAGAAATAAATAGGTTTAAAACCCCTGCCCTTAATTGTGTATGGTAAGCAATGTTCCTCAAGCAACGTTAAGATGATTATCCACTGTGGATTCCATCGTACATGTACCATTAAAGGATCAAGGATGATACGATTCTTCAGAATTCCCCAAAAATTCCTACAGAATACTCTACATGTAGGACATCATACAGATTCAAACTTTCACTGGAACAACGGCCTACTTGATCATCCACCCGGATGTTGACGTGGACTACGATTGATTGTTAAATGTGGTTGCATATCCTCCAAAAAATGTAGTAAATCAGATGAGATAACAACACGCTATCACAACCCGCACTTTCGTGAGTAAGTGATGTGTGTGTTTTCGGCTGTCAAAAGCTATTGCTAAGGTGAAGGTCTAAGCAACCTCATTTCCGCTTCCGTTTGCAAAGGTTAGAATGAAATATTTTTTTTTATTTTCTGTTAAATCATTCTCATATAATTTTATCAATTTATTATTGGCATACAATCTCAATACTAATACCTTGTATCTTTAGCTATATTCCGGTAATTGACAAATATTTTTATGTATTTGGGTTCGGTCATTTGGTCAATCTTTGGTAGTCAACCTACTGTCTCGGCTCTCTCGGTCTTCTCTCAGACTAGCACTAGGCTACAAAAGTACAATGTGTACTGATTGAATTTTGACAATTATTTAAATTAGAATTGAAATTCACTACAAGATACTACTGAGAGTGTTAATTGGGTTAAAAATATTAAAGGGATGGGTAGCCAGGATTTTATTGAGGTGGAGGTTGGGGAATCCAAGCTTCTCGGCCCTCTTTTGGATTTTAAAGGGTACAGTGGTGTAACCTATTTTCGTGAATATAAAGATTTAACACCGAATTTCGTCAAAGTTAAAAAAATAAAACAAAATTTTTATGTCTTAGATGTTTCCTCAGATATTCTACAAAATGATTAAAATTGGTTTGTTTCGATTTTCTTTATGAATCCTTCACTTTGATCCATATTTCATGAGCAACCAACTCGGCAACGGCGGCAGAATGCGTCACCTATTTTCGTGTATAATGTTTGATCTATAAATAAGTCTAGAAAAACACGGTGTATGGATACCAGGTGGTATAATAAACTTCTCTTAGTATTTATCTTTAATATCAATTCATTATAACTAGTGACAATTCCTTCAAAGAGCCACGATTTTAAAAACAAATAGTGACTGACAAAATAAGATACGTAGCGTGATTTATTGCTAAAAGTCACTGAAACAACATAAGAATATGGTCCACTTTGTCTTCCATAGAAATTTTCTGATGACACTGAATCGCTAGTTGATCACGCAACTTCATTCGTTGGACTACATTCTAGCAGACACTTACTTTCGTAATAATCACCATTTGAAATTGGAGACTTAATTTTTTTTTTTTGCAGAAGGTTCAAATACATATCAAGTTCTTGTCAATACTTATTTCGTTATGAGAGGCTGAACTATTGATATTTTGTTCTTAATTGTAACTTGTAACTTAAAAGATCTGTCTTACACTGACTTTTCAAATTGTCATTGCTGTAACAGGTCATATGGACACTGCTTCAAGCTTCAGTAAAATTCAAATGGTTCTAATTAAACTTGATTTTGTACCAGTGTACAAGAATGGGATTCTTTTAATTTCAGCTATGATATTGATTAAGAGTCTGATTTTGTTACATATTCATGGCTTCAAAGGTAAGTCATTTGAATGCTACTTAACTTGTATCTTTCTTAGTCCAGAGAAAAAATATATAAATAAGATGTTATTGAAAATGAACTTTTGGCATTTAAAGGGATATCTGGACCATTCGACTATTCTTGGCTGTTTCTGTAAGCTGAATCTGACTCTGTAATGAATGGTGAAATTTGTGTTGGGCGAGACTCTTTACTTCTGGTACCCGGTATCTAGCAATGATTTTTCAAGTGAAAGTAATATTTCTACCAAATAATATAGTTCTTAAATTTAGAGACTTTGGAAGATAATTTTTATACGCACACATTAAATGGGGGGCGTATATTGTCGTCACCCATGTCCGTCGGTCCGTCCGTCGGTCGGTCCGTCCACAATTGCTCGTAAACACTCTACAGGGCACAATTCTTGACGGATTTTAACGAAACTTAGTATGTGTGTTCGCAATCACCCAAGGATAAACCCTATTGAAAATCAGCGAAATCGAAAAATATTTAGCATGAATTATTGCCCTTGTTAATTTTAGCTCGTAGAAGGAACAATTCTTGACAGCTTTTGACGAAACTTGGTATGAGTGTTTGTAATCACCCAAGGATAAACCCTATTGAAAATCAGCGAAATCGAAAAATATTTAGTATGAATTATTGCCCTTGTTCTTGAAAACGCGTTCAATTTTTAGCTCGTAAACACTCTAGAAGGCATAATTCTTGAAGGATTTTGACGAAACTTGGTATGAGTGTTCGTATTCACCCAAGGATAAACCCTATAGAAAAATCAGGGAAATTGAAAAATATGTAGTATGAATTATTGCCCTTGTTCTTGAAAACGCGTTCAATTTTTAGCTCGTAAACACTCTAGGAGGCACAATTCTTGACAGACTCTACAAGTCACAATTTTTTTGTTCATAATCACAATTTACAATAGATGTCATTATTTTCCTGAGAAACTATTTTGGTTAACAAATAAGAAAATTTAATTTAATCATTTAACATGTCCCTAACCAGCCACCATACATGTACAGCATCATAAGATACTATAAATAGACCAAGTGGAAAATCCAAGACAGATATCCAATCATAGCTTAGTCATGTGACATCCCAAGATGCAGCAGTTTATCTGATTTCATTTTATAAATGTCATTCAAGAGAAATGGTTTGCTTAATCATTTCATTTTCACCAATTGTGCTGATACAAAAATGAAATTAAACATGGGTCATAAGGGAAAGGTTTTGTTTCTTGGAAGATTGAATTGAGTTGCTGGATAAGTAGGCTACTATAGGAAAAATATTTAGTATGAATTATTGCCCTTGTTCTTGCAAACCGTTCAATTTTTAGCTCATAAACACTCTAGGAGGCACAATTCTTGATGGATTTTGACGAAACTTGGTGTGAATGTTCGTAATCACCCAAGGATGAACTCTATGGAAAATCAGAAGAATCGAAAAATATTTAGTATAAGTTATTGCCCTTGTTCTTGAAAACGCGTTCAATTTGTAGCTCGTAAAAACACGGACAGTTCTTGATGGATTTTAACGAAAATTGGCATGAGTGTTCCTAATCACCCAAGGATGAACTCTATTGAAAACCAGACAAATCGAAAAATATTTAGTATGAGTTATTGCCCTTGTTTTTGAAAACGCGTTAAATTTTTAGCTCGTAATCATTCTAGAAGGCACAATTCTTGATGGATTTTGATGAAACTTGGTGTGAATGTTCGTACTCACCCAAGGATGAACCCTATTGAAAATCAGAAGATTTGAAAAATATTTTGTATTTATTGCCCTTGTTCTTGAAAACGCTTTCAAATTTAGCTCTTAAACACTAAAAGGCATGATTCTTGCTGGATTTTGACAAAACTTGGTTTTATTGTTCAGTCCCGTGCTGAAGATTGAATATTTCCCTTCTAGAGTTTTCACGAGCTAAAGAATTGAACACGTTTTCAAGAACAAGGGAAATAACTCATACTCAATATATCAGTATCGCTCTAAAGAGTTCAAAAGAAGTGTATGACTGAATGTTAAATATTTCATACTGGTGATTGTTACTGTACTGCTAAATATTTTCATTCAAAATCAAAGCTGCTAGTGGGCGTATATTACCTTGCCTGGCAAGCTATCTTTGATGATAACATCTTGAACTTCTACATGGAAAAATATTCATTTCTGTTCTCGATGAAAAACTTTACAGACTTAAAATATTTTGATTAGTCTTTGAGATATTCCATAATGAATGGGGTAAATATTGGAGAAATTGTGTTATTTGTATGATTTCTTCACACTCATTTTATAAGTGATATACTGAACAAGTCATTAGAAGATTAAAAATATTTTATAACACATGTAACTTAATTATAATTTAATGTAAAGACAATAGGTAATTTCATAACATCATAAGTTCCTACATCTGAATTGGTAAAACACAGGATAGGCCTACCAAATAATGATAAAGTGAAAGTAGACCTTCAGATCAAATAATTGAAATATGAAATTATCCGCTCAAAATATACTTTAAATTAAGAAATGATAGTTTTAAATCATTTATGAGTTTAGTGTTCCTTATAAATTGAAATTTCACGAAATCAGCTTCAATTTTTAGCTTTTATTACGCTTCAAAGGTGTCCCAAATTGGCCGTCATTACCTCCGTTTTATGTTGGAAAATTAATATTTCATCTTCTTGGCTAAGTTTAAATGCCGATTTTTTTACTATTAATTAAAGATAGGAACCTTAAATATATTCCCAATAGGGTCTCATATGCGATATTGTATTTTAACACACTTTTCTGGCTATGTCATCTTTTCAATTTAGTATATTTTCTATAAAAATAAAGAGTTTTGCAGTGAAACTTTCGATTTCGCCAAGATTGACATGTTTACTACACAAAATGACAACGAGGCTTGAGAAAATATGCTGTGCATGCCTGTAGTAGCCCGTAACAGAACATCTACTTTTTGGGGTTGTCATTTGGCCATTTTTACGATCGGCAATTTGCAGCGCCACCACCAGCCGTTTGCATTGCTAATAATATGAGGACTTTCAATCAAAAACCATGTCAATAAGCAAATCAACTTGTTGAGTTTATTGCAATGAAAGTCCTGAGAAATCTTCCCACTACAAAAAATTTATTCAATGTCAATTTTCAATTTATTTCTTACTGATTTGTTTTTGACTGATTATTCTAATTCTAGATGGAAAAACAGTATGGCCAGATAACAATTTAGGTCCCTTAGGACCAAGAGATAGACGATTTCCACTACCTGGCTCTGTTGGAGTTTCTCCAGAAATTCTCCCTTCAAAAACACCTATTTCTCCTGAGGTACCCAAGATTGAACCTTCAACTCTTTCAGATCGTCATGAAGCTGTCAGTAGTCAGATGATGGAGCATGCTTTTGGTGTAAGGTTTATTCAGATTAATAATTTTTGGACTTTTCTTTTTTGGTGAAATTTTTGCTACAGTAAATAGACAAACATTATCTGTTCAACATGATTGCCGGTGTTCATGAGTGGTTTTATTGGTTAGAATTCAGTGGCTGATAAAAACCAGAAACTAAGGGACAGATGGGACATTTTCAGTGGTTGATGTTAGTTTTGAACATCGGTATATGTAATTTGTAAATAAACCTTTAGCAACATTTAGGGGTAGAGATCACCTTGAATAACAGAACACAATTTTATGGTATAGTTTTATTACCTGAGTTCACCTGATGATGACAATGTAGATTGTTGAAACGTAGTGTGTAATAAAACTAAGGAGTAGTTTACCATAAATTTGTGTTCCGTTATTTAGATTTGTAAATAGTCTTCATCTAGAAATGTACAAAAATCGAATAATTCCTTCGAAAAATAACTCAAACTAGGAGTTTCACTGACTATTTCCTTAAATGTCTTTTAGAGACAGTTCAAAACACAAGTATTTTTATTATATTGTGATATTGTGTCACATTAGTGAGCTTTCAAACCCGGATAGTTCAGGACAAACATGGATTTAAAGTCTCAAATTTCGATGGTGAGCTGTTACTCGTAAGATAAGATAAAAAATTCCTGTTTCTGAGACTAAGGTACGATTGGTCAAAAAAATGGCCCACCTGTCCCTTTAATTTGAAAGCATGTCACTCTGGAATGTCTATCTGTTTTGTTTCACAATTCCTTGCATACTGTAACCTTATTTTCATTAAATCAACCCTACTTCATATCATGTATATACCCAAAATCCTAGTTCCCAATTATTTGTTATTTTTTACAGACAGAAGGAGATGTTCATGAATGTACCATGCCAACAGCCACTGATATGTTAGAATGTGTGGCTTTTGATTGTCCCAAAACATTAGTTCGAGGTTTGTTTATCTTTCAGAACTATTTTGATAGGGACAAAATTCTTAGACAGAAGAGTCTGTGTATATCTCAAACTTGTTTCCTAAAGGAATATGTCACATGGTATTAACAAGTCTTTCAAACCTAGAATGTATATCGTGGGTGAACGCTTGAAACCACGTATATGCCACAATTGGTCATTTTTTTGGTACCGTTCAAAAGCTCGTAAAAGCGTGGATCTTGTGATAAAAACCTCGTATTCTTAGCTTGATTGTAAATAATCCAAAAACCACTAATTAGCTAACACGTATATACACAGTGTTTAAAATATTATATTATATGAGGTTCAATATTTTTCTGCGGATGAAAACGAAAAACCTCGTTATATGAGGTTTAGATTTTCAAAGAATGAAACCATGTATAGCGGTAAAACAAATATAAAAATAATTTTTAACAAAATACGCATACCAATAGTTTTTTGCGTTTTTCTCGAAAAGTAATTTTGCATCACATATCGTTATACGAGGTTTCAAATGGTCACCCACAATAAGATTTTTTCTGATTGAAACTCTGTGGAAAGATTTGTAATTTTATCAATCTCATGTAGACTCTGATCTATTGTATTAAATGAAAAATTCTTATCATTATCTGGACAGATTTTTATGAGTTATTCCCAGTATATGAGAGAAGGGATGGTGCTATCACTGTGATAACTATTAGTCAGAAAACAGTCAATGAAATGAGTACGTGGTCAGAAGCTGTAGAAACTGAACGTGAAGAACTTCTCAAAACTGTGAGTTTTTGTATTAGTTTGTGTCAATTTATAAAATTGAAATATATTAAAATTTACAAAACTTTTATGGGATCTGACTTTTAAACCTCTCAGATTTTCATGACTAGCTTATCCTTTGTTAATTTCTATACCTAGTGCAGTCTTATGACTTCTTCTGTACTTCTTATCATTTCATTCACATAACTTGATTGAAGTTTTATGAAAATCCCACTGAATGGAGCATTTTCCTAATTAGATGGGTCTTAAAGGTCATTTTTATATGCCCACATGAAATGGGGGGCATATATTGCCGTCACCCATGTCGGTCCGTCGGCCGTCCACAATTGCTCGTGAACACTCTACAAGACACAATTATGGATGGATTTTGATGAAACTTGTTTGAATGTTCGTAATTACCCAAGGATGAACTCTATAGAAAATCAGAAGAATCAAAAAATATTAAGTATGAGTTATTGCCCTTGTTCTTGACTTGTTCTTGACTTGAAAATGTGTTTAATTTTTAGCTTTTTAACATTCTAGAAGGCTCAATTTTTGACAGATTTTGACGAAACTTGGTGAAATTGTTTATTATCACCCATGGATGAAAAATCGAAAAATCATATGTTTCATAGGGGTTGTTGACCTCATTCTTGAAAACGCCGGATTTTGACAAAACATGGTTTTATTATTCGCATTGACTTCACCTCGGTATTCGTCTGTCGGTCATTTCTTGTGGACACAATAGAGACTACAGTTTTTATATGATCTTGATGAAAATTGGTAAGCATGTATGTATTGAAGAGATTTGTGTGTAGTTTGAAGTTGGTAATGATGGGATGACCTTGATAAAACTTGGTATACATGTACGTATATTGCTGAGATCTCAGCCAAGTTGGAAATTGGTAACAATCGAACGTTTTCGGAATTGTTGAGCTTGACTTTGCATCAAATATGGCTTGCAGGCACAATAGAGACTGAAGGTTTTATCTGATCTTGATGAAACTTGGTATGTATCAATATATTAATGAGATCTCGGTCAAGTTTGAATGGTATCACCAATTTGGTAATAATTGGATGAACAGTTTTAAAGTTTTGCCCTTATGTGTATGTCGATGAGACATTGTTCATGTTGAATTGATGATAATTTGATGAAATGTTTTTGAGGTTTTGTCTTTATAAATATTTTTAAGATTATTTGAAAATTCATTATTAAGCCACTAAAGACTGCTTTATCATTTCTGACAGCTGTTAGTGGGCGTATGTTACCTTGCCTGGCAAATCAAATGCCTTATCAAATGTAAGATCAACATATTGCTAGTCAGAAAAAATACAGAAGTATTTGCACTATAAGCTGTGAATAACGAGAATTTTGAGTAAGCCTAATATGTTTTCTCATTGCAATTGTGATCACAACTTACTGTGTATGTTGTCTTTTTTGTTTCAGTATATTCAGGGTGCTTGTGAACTTTGTGCTGTATTACAACAAGCTGGTTTTTGGGCAGATTTTATTGATCCAAGTTGTGGCAAGCCAGTATGTTAATTTATTTTTCGCATCTTTTTGACTAGAGCTCATGTCAGGCTGCCTACAGCATATTATTTTTTTATTTAGACCTTGTCAAAATACATGTAGATGATTTTATCGAACATCACTCATCCTTTCAATATATTTCAATACTTTCTAATATGTGACTGAGCTAGAAAGCCACAAAAAAACACATAATCCATGTTGATGTTTTGAAATGAAATTCGTGATTGTCATACCTTCAACATATTATTTTGTTTGCATTTCTATCAAGCTATTATTACTTCTTTCAGTTTCTTGGACCTTCTACCAACTTCTCACTTCAAGAAACAGATGAACGTTATCGTAGCTTAGGCTTTCATATTGATGATTTGGGTTGTTGTAAGGTTATCCGTCATCACTTGTGGGGAACACATGCTTATGTTGGCTGTTTATTTACCAATGCTCCCATGGATCACCCAGTGATTATGACTATGAAAAAAGACTATGTGGAGCCAAAGCACTAAATGCCAATAGACAATAGTATTGATGGGATTGGTCGTTGATTATGATTTCTTTGAAACATCTTGCTGTATTGTCCTATATTTATATATATTTAGATGTAACAATTTACAATGTTAGATCAAACAGCAATTTATGTTTAAAATGTGGTGCGAAAGAAAAAAATTTTGATCAATTGAAGAATAGAAATTTCATTTTGAATAGTGCTACAGATAAATGTGCCCTAGACAACTTTATTACTTGTTGAATTATATCAGAATGATAAATAATGAATGCAATATGAATGTGTTCGTATTTTTGCCTAGAAGAAAATGACAAGTTGTCATGTTCTTTTTTTCATCTTGGAAGTGGATCACAAAACTGTTAATTCTTTTGATGAAATGTTGCATTTGATTGGACACAGTTTACTTTGCATAGTTCTAAGTAAATTTATAAATTCTATTTTATACTCTCAAAGCATAGTTATGGTAAAAAAGGCATTGAAAATCAAGAAAATTTCATGTAGTTTTCAAGTTATTTATGGTTTTTTGTTTACCTCATCACAAGAAACTTTTGAAGTATAAAACTGCAGAAACACTAAGTATTTTGTACTATATAATTTATTTGCTGGCCTTAATCTGTAAAAGAATTTTATGTTTTACTAATTGTGTTGTAATTGTCAAATGAGGCTGGGTTTTAATTTTATATGTAATGGGAGAAGCCATGGCAAGTTTCTCACTTGCCTTCTGGTGCATCTTTCAGCTACTGCATTAAAATAGTTCCAGAAGCCCTTTTCAAAATTCATATTGTCACTTATGACATAGCCTTGTGAATCACTCTTTAGTCCATATTTTCATATTTTCGATCAGGAGTACAATTCTGCTCAAATTTGTACCAATTGCTAATTAAACCATTGTTAACACTTGGATAAGGGAATAATAAAAAAAAAACAAAGAGGGAAAGGGTGACCATACTCTACCTAGCTAGAAGCACTTGCCACAATACATATTTCTGTGAAGCTCTATTCAAAGGACATTTAAAAATTGAAAATTAACCAACAATAAAACAGATCTATATAATTTTATAATTGTGATTAATAATAAATAATGCTGAATATGGTATCAATACTTAAAATATTGATAATTGTTCAATTATCACAATCTGAACACTGTCTTATTATAGGTCTGCAAAGGTACAACATAAAACAAACAGGCAATTCTCCTCATTTTCAATTCAAAATCACCAATATTTAATATACATGTATTACAAAACAATACTGAGTAAGCAACACAGTGTTCTGAAAGGAATCTATTCAAAATATCAACTCTCAAGTAAATTTTTGTTTGATATGTGGATAAGCATTCAAGTTTGAAAATCTAGGTCGGAAGGTGAACAGTAAAGAGAACTTCTCTATGCCTCAAGTAGCACTAATAGAAATTTCATTTTTCTTCTTCATTCATCCTACTAAATGTCTCAATTTCTGATTCAATTCTCTTTCCTTCTGTAACAAATTCTGTGAATGTTTCTTGAAGGCATCAAATTCCTGAAATGAATAGAATGGAATTCTGCCCTTTAAATTCCAAAATGACAATCTCGTGATATATTCTTATATTGAATATCTGATTGATTAAACCTAACTTTTATTCCTAACATTGGAGAAGGCGTACATTTGATTGGTTAAAGCAAGAATGTTCAAAAGGTTAATTTGACGAATGCTCAAGACTTCAATCGCAAGACCCTACTGTGAAGTGGTTATACTAAAAATAAATACTAATAAAAAAAAAATGTCTTTTAGAATAGACATCAAATTAATTAAAGTCTTAAACTTAATACCCATTAAACTAAGGAATCATTGAAAAACAATTCTAACTATACTTCTAAATTACTTAGTTTAATGGATTATTGGTTTTATTGAATTATAGAGGGATTCTGTTGTATAGTTATGACACTAGGTAAGTCTATTGATTAGCAAGATATGCCCACTTTCCTGATAAATTTTCAGTATATCAAGGGCAGTCACCAATCTGTGTCAAATCATACCAAAAATCTAATTTGTGAAAGATATTGTTGATTTAAACAAACACACATTATTTAATAAAATTCTGACATAAATTGTCACCTCTATTGCCAACAAATTCTGATGCGTTTTTACTAAGTCATGGGCAATAACTCAAATTCCGTTGATCGAAAAATTGTCAAATTCAATTTTGACTAAGATCTCATCATTATAAATATATATATACCAAATTTTATTTAAATCGGATGAAAACTGTACTGTCTATTGTGTTCACAAACAAATTTTGATGCATTTTTCATAGATCAAGGGCAATAACTCAAAAAATCGTGCATCGGAAATTTGTAAATATCTGTAATAACCGCTTAGACACGCTTCTAGAAATCTTTTTTTGTCCTTTTGCTTGCTTGTTTCAAGAGTTTGTAATTAAAATAATGGAATGTGTGAAAATTTATTAAAAAATAATAATAATGGTCTGTCACACACTGGTGCCATGGCTATATACAGTATATTATATAACATGCAGTGTATTTTTGTGTTTGTGTCTTTTCAACTAAAATCATACTAATGACTAACTAATTTTCACATAATCAATAGACTTATCTATTGCTCTGTGACCTAGGCCAGTGCTTTCATTGAGACTCGTCTCAATACACCCTAACACTGACTTTCGGTAATGCACTTTAAAACTGTTCTGAATTTTTAAATTTGGTTTTCTTGCTAAGAACAGTAGTTAGTTCCTAATCAAAAAGTACAAAATAAAATAAATACCTTTGTCATTTCACTGTATCTATTGTCAGCTGCATTTAAATCTTCTTTAAGACGTTTTACTTGTAAATTAGCATTTACAGCACAAGCCTGGCGTCTAAAATTACATAACAAAATTATATACGCTACTATTCATAACAGAGAACAATTCATTATGAAAAGAAAGATAAGAAAAGATAGCTTGCCAGCCAAGGTAACATACAATAAAATACCAGCTGTCAGAAATTATAATAAAGTCTTTAGTCTTCAATTTTCTCATAATCTTGTAGATATTTTACGTCAAAATTGGATAATATTGTAGTATATAAACTTTACAGATCAAATTTGACATACTTTAATAGTCAAGTTCTAACAGACTGACATAGACCTACAACATGTCATTGCATTGACTTTTGAATTTCAAGATGGTGGTGCACATAGAGAAAAAATAATTTCATGAAACCAGGCCTGAGTAAATGGAATGGGTTAAGTCGAAACTATATTGAAAGAGTTTGAGTTGAACAAAAAAAAACCTACTCAAATTTATCTTCCATAGCTTTGACTGATGTAGACATATCTTCAATAGATTTCTGCAATCTTTTATTTTCATTTTGTTCTTTCTGTGATCAAAATAAAGGTGACATGCAGATAGTGAAATTAAAATTGTGATATGATAAAACTTTTTTTTTAACACATTCAAATAAAAATAAATATAATCTTTGACACAATCAAATCAATAGAACATTCAAAAGAAAATGTTGGTTTCAGCATGCAGTGTTAGGTGAAAAAGATGTACTTGTCAAGTTACCTTTCTCTATAAATCATTGGCAATATTCATTGAATTTTGGTTGGATTATTGAAGATTAAATGAGACCATAATAAGTAAACATATTGTCTTCTTGTTTAATTTGAGAGGATCTTAGATGGGATTTTTTGTGTGTATAGAACAAATCTCTGTTTGCATCATTTCGCATTTCAATAAAATCAAAAATAACTCAATCAGATTCACTAAATAAGCCAGATTGATGAAGCACGTTGAAATCATATTCTGGCCATCTTTTTTTCTGGAAGGACAGGCTTGATACAAGGGCTTAAAGCCCTTATTTTAAATATTTTTTACAAACTTAATTAACTATTGTCAAATTGTATAAGTCTTATCCATTTAATCATGCCCAATGTTACATAATGCACTTAAAAAGGACTACCTGTATCAATTTTCCTCTCTGCATAGCCAATTCTAATAGCTCATCCCTTTCTTTAGTAATTAGTGTTAATTTACTGCTAGATTCTGTTACTAAACACTCTTTACTTTCCACTTGTTGTTGTAGTTTATACTGCATACCTTATTATACACAAATAAACATTTTCAAAAGATCAAACACAAAATAAATAAGAATAAGTAAATATATTATCAAACAATGTTTTCATGATGCTGGTACACAGTCCATCTTGAAAAAAGCAAAATATATTTACAATACATAACATAATAGTGATAAAACTACCTTTTAATCTCTCTTCTGAATCCTGTAATTTATGTTGAAGTGATTTTAAATCTGTTTTATATTGGTTTTGTAATTCATCAAGTTGTGATTTAGATTTCTCTTCCTTATTTCTGTGTTCTGTCACCAATTGTCTAAATAAATAAACAAAAGAGAAATTCAAACTGATGTTCTGCATATTCAATAAGCAATGGAGTTGTTCACTTAGATACCTTTCTGTAGTCTAATGGAGAAGGAAATGATAAAATTCATTCTGTTCTAATTAGCTTAATGAAAAAAAAAAAAAAAAAAGTTTTGCACTCTATAACCTTTCTACAACAATGCAGACCTATGTACCATTTAAAATTTACTGGGAAATCATAAAAGTTTAGTAGTCATATGTAATATATTTTGATCTGGTATAAACGAATTAAAAGTATAAATACGGTACCTTATTTTTTGCTCCATATTCTTAGTTTGATCTTGCAAGAGTTTAATCTTAGAATCAAGTTCAGATATTATATTGTCTTTTTCTAAAATAGCACCAGAAAATAAACGAGAATTCTCTTCTCGAAGTTTAGCATTTTCATTTCTCAACTCTGCATTGACTCTTTTGTATTCATCTTTGATTTTTATCATTTCTTCATGATTGGAGGCTAAATCGTGAAATCTTTTGTCTAAAATTTCATATTTTCTCATTTCTTGACCAAGCATTTCCTTTGCTCTGTCTCTTTGTTCAGTCAATTGCAAATTTATTCTGTCGACTGTTTGAGCTTTCAAAATGGAATCATCCGTTCGTTGTTTCAGGATCATTATCAACTGTCCTTGTTCATCTATCCTAGATCTCAACATGGCAGCTTCTGTTTTGTCATCTTCTGACAGAGCTCTAAGTTTGGCCAAATTACTTTGCATGTCTGAGACATCCTGAATCAAAACAAATAAAAAAGTTATAAAAAATATTTCATCTCAGGCAGTGCTTATTCATCTCATGATAGCCAAATGACAGACTGCACTTATTTGAGGGGCAGTGGAGAGCATTTTAGACAAATTCAGCATCTAATATGACAAATAATGAATATAACACAAATTTGCCAAAGTTTCCATAAACTAATTCTAAAAAACTAATCATGTGTTTGTAAAAAAGACAGTTGCCCACTACTCAGAGGAGTGCACATGTGGGTTTTAATATTGAAAATCAACAACTCAACACCTGTCATGTGACAAGAGTACTCTAGTTTCTACATTTAACTACATTTAACTTGTTTAGGCCTATCTCTAAGTCTAAATGGAATCTTTTGACTGAACTGTAGATTAATATTCTACTGAGAAAAGGGGTCAAGTTTAAGTGCCTTTGTCACTACTCAAATTTGTCCATTTGCTTGTCATAAGTATCAATGACTCACTTGAATAGTTTTATATCACAAATAAATGAAAAGGAATAGAATCTCACATTGATACTCTCGGAAACGATATTCTTGAGGTCTTTTGGGGATCTTGAACTATACGCCATGGTTTTATTTTTAATGTCCTTGTTATTTTCAGTCAATCATCGTGTTATTTCTTTGTTATTTGATCGAAAATTCTATAACTCCATTTTGTTGCGAATGTAAACAATTTTACACCGGAAAAGGAAGTGGATACTGGCAAATCAAAGTAATGATTATGTGAAATGGAATGAAATTTAAAATCGTATTCGTAGATATTGGAGGTTATGAAGCTGTGATTTTATCCAATATTTAAACTTTTCTTTTGGTTATGATTATGTATTTTGTGCAATTGGCTTTTTCAGATAACAGGTAGGTCTGAAATAAAGTTTTTGATAAGTTTCTGTAAATTTCGATATGATCAAAACTGAAACGAAACTATATGGAATGTAAACAACAGACAGTATGTCCCTGTTATTTTTTTTAAAGAAATGTAAAGTTTTGGAAGAAATAACAGATTGATTTTTTTTGTCAAGCATGTGTGTGAATTAGGTGCTTATGACCGAAGAATGAGTTGTTGATTTTCAATAATAAAACCCTATCAAATATGTAAATTCTAGGCTAACACTACCAAAAACACCACCCATATCACCATTGACATTGTTTCATATAACTTTTACTATCCTTAATCACTAGTCCGAAACATCTGCCACTATTCCAGCCTCTGATAGATATTTTGACAGTTATCGACTGGGGTAGAATCAGAAAAGTAGACCATGTTTTGGAGGGGGATTTTCCACATGACATTAAATACCGGTAACACTTACAATGTGATTCAATAAATAGGTTTTAAAAACCTGGGCCCCGTTTCACTAAAGTTAGTAAGTTTACGACAAAATATTACACTTACAATCATCTTACGCTAATTCTTACGCATGTTTTATTATCAAACTTATGAAGATCTTAGCTACGAAGGATTTATGCACAGAGCCCACAGCATTGTTTTGTTGAATTTACATCTTTATTTCATCAATTTACAGAAAATAAATATATTTCATAAAACTCTTAAGTCCCCTACATACTATTAAAAAGTCTATAGTGGTGTAAATTTGCTAATTTTTCCGCAAAATGGTAAGATTTTGAAGCTTAAGATGACAATACCTTGACATTTACGACGTCATCTTAACTAACGATTGAAATTCCAAAAATTGAAATGGTCATAACCAAAAATAAGACAAATTTTGCAGAGAAAATGAAGAAAACATCTAAGTCTTTGATATTTATACATATGTGTAATATTTAGAAATTGGCTAATTTCATCTACTCTGAAGAATTTCTTGAATGAAGAAAATAGTTATGATAGAGTATAGCTTAGCTTAAGAATTTGAGCTGCGGAAAATCAGGGTCAGGGTCAGTTTTTCTGTCTCTACACCAGTTGACAACTTCCAAAATATCTTTCTGAGACAGATATTTCGGTCGAATTGATCACTTTCCAAAATTCTTGTGGTTTAAACGTTTTATAAAACCTAAGCTTTCTTTTAATGGAGGTTTTGAAAAAGTATGAATGGCTATTATTCTGTTAATATTGCAATTGATTATTCCATCACATTTGTTAATCATTTTTGTATCATATTAACTCTTGTTTTTTTGATAGTGTGATCTTATGATGATATTTCTTTTTTAAAAAGTTTTTATGAAGAAGAAAATTATCAATTATTCCTACAATTTTCTTCATATGCTTAAAGAATAATCAAAAACATATGCTTAAAGAATAATCAAAAACATATGCTTAAAGAATAATCAAAAACATATGCTTAAAGAACAATCAAAAACATATGCTTAAAGAACAATCAAAAACATATGCTTAAAGAATAATCAAAGATATGTTATTTTCTTTCTGCCATAGAATTTTAAATATTTTCTGTATAAATTCTTATGATGATTTTTGTCTATCTGTTTCCCATTTTTTTATTGTATTTTTTATTGCAGATCTAGTGTTTATTGTGTCTATGAAATATGAAATATGAGTGGTAAATATGATATACTATGGTCTCCTGTTGACCCAACAGAGTTTATCACCTATGGTTCAGATATTAATTTATATAGAGTAGAAAGCAATATTGAAAAATCTCATTTAGAACCACATGCTAAAGGTTGGTAGATGGTTTGATTACTTACTTATCAAATTACTTCTTTTAAAACTGACTGTACTATGGTAGTTATCTCTATTTTTCTGTTTTGTTCAATTTTTTACAACTTACAGGATTTATTTTTTGGAAAATGAATAAGTTTAGTGAAATTGTTTACTATTGTTTTAAGGTAGAAATTCATTCTCTCATCTTTTAATTAGTTGTTTCAATAGAGAAGAAATTTCAATCTTATTATAAAGAATTTAGAATGAGAAGAAATCTCTATAGGATACACATTAGATTTGCTATGTTTTTATAATTTAGTATTATGTGTTTTTTATCAATGTCACTGTCAATGTTGTAAACAGATATTCTAAAACATTTTTGTAAAATTTTTTAAGTTTGAATTGAAATTGTAAAACTTTTTATTTAGATGTAGAATGTAAGTAATCAGCTATTTGTTTGTTCCCTTTCCTTTTTTTTGCATTGGTTTGTACAAGTTAAGTTTGTATGTATTTTTAAAGTCTTAAGTCTGACCCTGGCAATGGACTTGGTTTTATTGTTTTAGTTTTTTTTTTGTGGGACTTTGCCCCAGTTTGTTATCGAAATGTCTATTCTTTTTTTTTTTTTTTTTTCGAAATTTACACACCTTCCTGAGCTTAGTCTACAATAGTTGCAGCAACCATTCAACATTCACGAACCTTAGATATAGGCGACGATGTGCATAAATATATTTTGGATCTTTTTTGCAAAACCC